GCAGAGCCTTAGGTGTTCACCAGGGCAGGGCCACCCAGGTCTCTGGTTTGTGACGTTGTATGTAGGGGTGGGGTCAGAGAGGGACAATAGCGGTCCCCTCTGCCACTTCCCGCTGCTGGGGCCTGCGCTGGGGCCTACTCGGTCTTTTTCACTGCTCGCTCCTTCACCGGTTTATCTGTGTGCAAATGTATGACTGTGGTCAGCCCTCAGTGGGTCCGCCCGCTACTCCACACCTGGGTCAAGTGCCCGGTCCAGAGGATCTTTCCTGCCAGACCTCGCTCTGCTGCAGGCTCTGCCCCTCTTACCGGTTTGGCTGAAGGGTTTGTTGTTGTCAGACTTCTATATAGTTAAATTTTCTGTGGTTTGGCTGTGTTTTTGTTGCTAAACAAAATTTTGTTATTTTTAAACTTGGTTGTGCAAGAAGGCACAGTGTGTCTACCTACGCCTCCAATCTGGTGGAAGTCCCCTGATTTTATTTTCTAGTGGTTTGGCAGTGAGAATGAAAAAATGGTCTAAGAATATAAAAAAAAAATGTCTGCATATTATCAAGGTACTTCTGTGATTTCACAAATGTATATTAATTTCATCGGTGTTTCAATCAATGTTTCTCAAAGTCTGTTCTGTGGAACCCAAGTGACAGATGATGTTGAGAAGAGTCTGCAATAGAGTTTCTCAATGAAGTATATTTAGGAAAATGTGGGTTTAACATATTGAAATGGACTACTGCAAAACAGCTCGGGCCTTTAACATGCATTCTACATCTCCAAGAAAAAAGATACGCAGTGCTTTCCACATGTATCTGACCATGGAGTCATCTTCTTGCCAAGCATTTTGAATAACATGTCTGAGGAATACACTTTGGGTAAATCCCCATCCACATCAAAGTACCATGTTTTCTGGGAGTCTGTTATCTGCCTGCCCTTTGTCGACCTTTGTTCTTGGGTGTTCTTAGGACTCTAGTCCATGACAAAATCCAGTAAGGAAAGCTTTGTTATTTTTTTCAGGGAGAGGGAGGATGGAAAAAGACTCAAAAGCTATGTCCTCAAGGACAGCAGATGGGATTCAAAATCAGAAGCCTCTACTACACCTTGTTAACCATTGTTTTTCTGAAGGCAGAAGACTTTTGCCATAGCCTCTTACTGGCTGCCTTTTCCCATCATAAAGTACATCCTGCGGTGTAAATATGAGGTCATGATAAACTTGCAAAGTGATAACAGTGTGGTTTTAGACCACTGACACAAGTTTTAGGAAAGCATTCTTTGTAACCCACTTTTAAGGCAGGGGTGAAGTCTGCACACACAGGCAGCAAACGGAGATGAGCATCTGGTGTCAGCTACGAGTTCATGTTAAGATCCGCATCTGGCCCATGGGAACAGAACTCTAAATTATCTTCAGGGGCTCCGGCTGAAAAGCTCACAGACCACTCACAGAGCAGCAACATGCCACAGGGAGGCAGGGCTCTGCTAGATGAATTCTTTCTTTATTCGAGCCTAGACTACATTTCACTGTGGAATTTTGGTAATTGAATAAATTCTAATAAACTGTTTTATCTGGTATAGATATAGAAGGCGGCTTTTCATACTTTGTGATCTTATTTTTTCATATTATAAAGGCAATAAATGGTGTTGGCAAAATGCATGAAAGCATGCAAATCAAATAAAAATCATCCATAACCCCACTAATTAGAAATAACTGCTATTGATATTTTGGTTTATCTATTAAAATATTTTCTTTCTTTTCAAGATGGTACATACTTATTTTGCAGGATGCTTCAAGAAGATTTCTGAACTCTTTGTGGTGCTAATGCTATAGGCTAGAATTTATTTTGGGGGCAGACTCTCTCTTCCCACGAGAACTACAATGGTGAGCCTGTCTGGCCATAGAAATACGAGTTCACCAAGAGTGTTTTCATACTGTAGCCATGAATGTCAGCGAGGTAATTCTACTACTACAACTTGTACTACGTTACCACTAACACATGGTAATTGCAACGCTAATAGGACTGCTAGCATTTTCAATATGCTGGAATACATCCTGTTTTAAATTCACTACCCTGATTAACCCTCACAGTACCGCTATGTGGTAGAATAACCACACTACATGGTGTGTTCTATTATTACCCTCATTACGTAGGTGAGGAACACAAGGCAAAGAGAGGATAAACAACTTGTCCAAGGTCCTAAATAGTAAGTGGTAAAGCTGGGATTTGAACCTGGATGTTCCAACTCCAGTCTGTATTCCTTCTTTAGGCTAAGATATTAATCAAGATGTTTGGTAAGGTAAAGGTTGCCTTCACTGTGTGCTGAGTATAGCAGTAAGCAGTCACTAGATTATTAGTGAGCTTGATTCTGATTCCTCCAGCATGTTGGGATACAAGGGTACACTCCAAGGGGCAGGGGTGAGGAATGGGTGGGAGGGGGGCGGGTGGAGAGAGAGAATGAAAGAGAAACTCTGGCTGAGGGGAGTGTGTCCCTCAATGCAGCAGCAGGCCAGGGGCTCAGGGTTAAGGAGGAAGGACGCACATGCCCCCTGGGAACTGGCATGGCCAATAATTTTAAGAACAGTGACACAGGAATTCCAAATTGATGTTTTTCTTTCTTGCCTTGTAATTTGGCTATGCTGTCCTCAAGCCATATTTAAGTTTATTAAACCACACAGTTCTTTATTAGCTGATGTCTGAAGAATAAAGGGGTGTTGGGGTGTGCCCATGGTTGAGGGTTAGAAATAAATAAATTTGATGGAAGAAGTCTGGGTCAGCAGTCAAGCATGGAAAGTGGAAAACAAAAACCAGAACATGCTGAAGATTTTCAAAAATAACTGCTGAGAGCACTGGACTTCCCATAGCCCTGGAGGGTGGGGCAGAACAATGAAAGAGAAAATGTCTGGATATCATGAGCAGCTCGGTCTCGTGTTGAAAACTGGGGTCGCTCGAGTTGCACATATAGCACAACACAGGAAGTGAGACATCTAGGTCGTTTTTCATTTCTTTTTGGCGATCAGATAACAATGTGCAACCAGGATGCCCATTGACTTAACAACTGAACAACACAATGAGAAATGAAAATATGAAGACATAACTGGAAAGAGATAGAATCTTTTTGTAGATGACATTTGGCTATATAAAAAACCCAAGAGAAGTAATAAGCAATGTATTAGAACTAATAAGAGTCCAGCATCATTTCTGAGCCCAAGATTAACATAAAAATATTAATGGCATTTTATATACTAATAATGGCAATTAGAAAATTATGGTGTATACATTCAATTTTGATCAAAGTCCCAAGAGGCATTTTAGAGAAACTGGACAGCTTATACCAAAAATCTTGTGGAAGAGTAAAGGTCCAAAAATGGCCAAGACAAGTTGTGTTGTTTTTTAGTCACTTAGAGAAAGGAAGAAAACTCTTTTCTTAAGTTATTGTTCAAGCACAACTGTCTCCACTTTCCCCCTCCCCCGCCCTACTCACCCCCCACCTCCCACCCTCAATCCTACCCACCTTTGGCTTTGTCCTGTGGGTCCTTTATACACGTTCCTAGAGGATCCTTCTTCCCCTCCTTTCCCCTGTTATCCCCTCCCCCAACCCACTTACCTCTGGTTACTGGCAGTTTGTTCTTTATTTCAATGTTTCTGGTTACAAAAAAGAAGGAAACTCTTAAGGGGAAGGGCACACCCATGTGAGTGCTTCTAAACTAGCTATCTTTGATGGCAACACACAAATGATGCTACCTAAAAGCATTAATGAATTTTAGTTTCTCTCTCTTCGTGACCAAGACACCTGGAAAGCAAATATTTTGTGTGGCCATTTCTCGATACATTTGTCCAATGGAAGGGCGCACAGCAGACAGAGTTATTAGTAGCTGGGAGAAAAGCGAGGAGAAGATTAAGCTATAGGTTGCACACTGGTGGCCTGAGAATACAATATGACCTGCAGGTATATTTTGTGGAGTCTCACAGTTTTGATTGTGTCAGAAAATGTTCTAAATTGTTGTCAACATTAAAAAGCTAGAGATTCCTTATGAAGACCATGGGTGGGAGCCAGATTGCTGTTTTCTTCTTTGAGAGAACCGTTCTTTTTTGCTTGCTATTGTGCACACTGCTCTTAATCTCTCCTGTGGCTCTCATTTTCACCACCTGACTGGCCCCTCCAGTCATTTGAATTTGTAACCCCCTTCCATTTAGATAACGCCAGCAGATGAGGGGACACCCTTCTGTGGTGCAGATGTGGGACTCTTAGGTCTTGAAGAAAGTTTATGGAAAGAAAGCTAATTCAACATATCTAAAGTCAAATGTTTTTCTTTTCATCAAGAAATTCTTTGTAGATCACATGCTAGAATAGCAATCTTCTACTTTGTTTTGAAATGCAGTGTGGTTAAATGGATTTTCATTTAAATAACAATGGATGTATTAAACTATGCTGGAAGCTACTAAAACTCCTTCCTGAAGAACAGAGAATTCACTTTTCTGTGGAAGCAATAGCAACTACTCACTGCCTACCAAACTTTGTGATAAGAAGGACCACCTACAAATTTGGGACAGAGTGCCAGGAAAGATACAAGTGTATTTTGGAAAGCTAACAGCGTCACAGGATGCCCCCGTTTCACATTTATTTCCTGGGTCAAGGAGGGAAAGACCCTCAGCAAAACAAACTGTAGGTGCACAATGACATGGAGCCTCTGGGCAGCGCCAGCGGGGGAGGCGGATACGGCCACTTTAAAAGGTTTGATTTGGTTTTCTCTAGCCAGTGTCAGAAGCTGACCATCATTTGGTTGTTTCAAATAATTTCCACTGGCGCTTGCCTGGTCCTGGTTATTGTGTGTCTCATCTCAAGGTGTCTGAATCCTTCAGGGGAAGGCAATTACTTCCTTTGTGGCTCCTTGCCCTCACCTGACTGTGTAACCCTTTAGTCTTTTGTAGGCTAAAAGCTACAAAAGAGTGAGCTCCATTCTCTTCCCCAAGTCAGAAAACCCCTTTCCCAGTGCCCCCAAAATCAATAGAATACACAGTTGATTTGAGTATTTTATTTATAAATGTACATTTGCTATAAAAGCTGTTGCATTTTAGGCAACTTTTTATTTTCTTACTATTTCTCAGAGGCATTTTAGAATAAATATTTTAAATGAAGGTTAGTGTGACTGATACAGAACACCGGCCCACTGGACAGCTTTCGGACGAACTCACGCAGGAGGTGGGTCACTCCAGTTCATTAGGTCTTTGCTGTGTGTCAATAACTATCATAGGTATTGCATTAATAACACTACATAGAAAGAATGAGAAAACGTCACGAAAAGTTGCTAGTGAAAAACAGAGTTCCCCATTTACTTGTAAGAAAGAGAAGGAACTAGCTTTTGGAGTATGAGAAAAAAATCAGATATACTTCCTCAGGAACAATAAATCATTCACTTGCTTCATCTTTTTTTTTTTTTTTTTAAGCAAACACATTTACATTGTAGCTCAACAGAGCAGAGCATTTTTTTTTTCCTGGGATCTCAAAGATTATTTGAAAAGAAATAGATCATACTCATTATGCTGCATCGGAAAAAACAAGATCTAGTCTGCCATGTACCAGACTCCAAATGAAATATAAATCAAACATAAATAGAAACAGTTGGCAATTAGAATTTAGAAAATGTTAGAGATTATTCTGTGCTGGTGACTATAGTTCATTATGGGTAAGCATTTCGCGGCTGGAGACTGCGCTTTATTTTTCTTGACTCAATTCTAGCTTCAATACATGTACAATGAGTTTCACTAAGAAATAGGTATAAATGGGTTTGTGAAACCAGAAGAGAATGTGCAATATTCATATGATTCCTACATAACAGATGGAGTTCCACGTGTAAAAAGTATTCTATAAAAATCGGTTATGAATGATCATATGGTACATGTTTTGTGCATTATTTCTGGTAAAGTACTCTGCTAATATCATGCAAAGTGTAAACATCACATTATCAAAATATTTAATAAAACATGCAGGTGGTTAACCAAAATATTGAACTTAATCTGTACATTTTCAAAACTTTTTCTTTTTAATTTTTTCCATTTTTTTTGATTCCTCCCCCCCTGTGAAACAGGGGACACCTCCGTGAGAAGTCTCAGGGACTTGGAGGTGACTGCATCTCTCTTCCATGTACTGCATCCATAATTCATCACTGTGCAACAGCTTTGCATTTTCTAAGGCACAATTTTTAACGAAGTGATGTGTCAATTTCAGTCTAACAACAGCTCATCCGAATGACAAAATTGTCAAAACACCTCCAGTGGCTGAGGAAATTTCTGCACTTACATGGAACCCGCATGCAGAGAACCGTCTAGCATGTAAATAAATAATCGCTAGCCATACCCAATAAGACGCAGAAAAAAATTATTGCTTACATAACAGAAAAACATCTACTTGATCTCCTTTTCTGACTACATTAACCTATTAGGAGGATAGCCATAGTCTACATTCACAAAGTGTCATCTTCACTTATTTGCCATCATTTTAAGGCAGAATAAATAGTTCTCCTTTCCCCAGCTTTAAAGAAACAGCCTGGAGATTTAAAATGGGATGCTTTTTAGTCACTTGATTTCTTTCTTGGCTAGCTGAAACTCACCACGCAGGGCAAGAAATGACCAGTTCTTCACAAGAGTTCCTCTCTCAAAATCTCCATGAGCAAGGTCCAAAATTTGACAGGAAAGAGAGTCGGTGATGGGGGAGAAGGAGGACGAGCAGATATCCATCAGAGTGGGCAGTGCACATATGACCTGTAGGTTCTTGCTGGTCATGCCCCAGTGGCTTATCACATCATCTGTCATTTGGATTCTCTTAGGATGAACTTAATGTTTTTGTTTAGACACCTGTGCTTCAGGCCCTGCCGGAGAACTTGCAGGCCAGGGTGAGCCGAGGTTCCACTTAATGGAGGACTGATCTCGACGAGAGAGCTTCCTTCCATGTGTCTTATGCTGAGTCTTTTACTGAATGTGGAGTCTGAAGAGAAGCACGCAACAAAGTTCTCATGGCCAGCAATGGCCCACCACTCTTTTGAAGACCAAACTTTCTTCTATATTTTGGTGATAACTTTAGAAATGATGATTAAAATATTTTCCTCTGTTTTTTTCCCTACCCTTGGGCAATGTCCAGAGCGTAAGTCTAACAGATATTGCAAGGGTTCTCTTTGTTTGATGGGCCAGACTCTATCAATGGCATAACCTTCAAAGTATACAAAACCTCACACTGATGGGGCAATAATTTATTGGTATGAATTCTACCTCAACAGGTAAGTAACACACGTTTCAGGATTACAGTATATATTATCAGGTTAGTGTCTTTGCATTAAAAACAAGTTATAGCTCGGAGCTATATAATGTGGTTTTTAGTTTCTGAAATGCAGTAATTGTATGCTCTTGTCTTAAAAGACCGCGTGTCTCAAATTGGCATGTCTTGCACTTTCTGCAGCTCAATTTTGTAAACACAAAGTATTTAATTCCTAGAAATACTAAAACAAAACAGGTTTATTGAATCATTTATCTCATGAAGTCCCAAAAGAAGAGAATAACACATTTTAAACTGGAAGTCTGCCTGACCACACTAACCCCTTCTTCTGAGCTAGTCAGAACCATTCCAATTCAAGATTCTTTTGTATGTACTGTGCAAATGCAAAAAAGAAAGAAAGAAAAACAGGAGAAACACAAACAATGTGCTATAAAAGAACAGATACCATTTTTTAGAACAGCCTTTCAGAAATTAGATGAACGCTGAGAAGCCCCTGAACTTGGAACTCTGTTAAACGATCGCCAGGAGACACTCTCTAGAAAGACATGGTGGATGATCTGGAAGCCAGAAAAGCCATGTCACAATGTTGTGGGCTGGCCAGCACCTGTGATGAAGAAATCAGAGTGACATTTGGTTGAAGTAGTCACTGCTTCTCAGTTCAGATGTTGACAAATTTCCCAAATTAGCTATGACCGCTGTCTCTTCCCTCAAGGGAGGGAAACTTGTCCCGCCCTACAACTCAAAGCGTGCCAGGAGAGGCGGTATTGGTACCAACTGGAACTTGTTAGAAATATGGACTCCGGAGCCCCACCCCAGGACTCAGCAAGGAGCCCAAGTGATGCCCAGGCCCCATAAAACTTGGTTGAAATCCTCGGGACTTCACCCTACACCAAATGATCTCCATCAAGTTTTCTACATTGTCTTTTTGGCAAATAAAAAGAGAATATCCTCTCTCCTCTCAGTCTCTTTAGGTTTTGGATTCTCTGAGAAGAAATGCATTGCAATAGGAGGAATTAGACATACGATCTATAAACAGAATTGCCAGGTTTAGAAATTTCAAATGCAGAACACCCAATAAAATCTGATTTTCAGAGAAACAATGAAAACAATTTCTAGCATAAGTACCTATCCCATATGATAGTTGGGATATAATAGTGCTAAATTCTAAACATGCAATATTTGAAACACAGGCATACGAAAGAAATTCATTGTTTATCTGACATTCGAACTTAACAGGGCAGAAAAGCACTGAACTGGGCATCTCGCCTTTATCTGGCAACCCTTCTGAGGAAGGATGGTTCGAGTTCTGTATCTCCTGCTGACACCTTCACCATGTTTCTTGTTTTAGGCACCAGAGCTCTAATGAGGCAGCAGCAACAGTGGGAAGGACCCGGGGGATTTTGCGTTAAGTGCATTTCATGCAAGCGCATGACGGAGCAGACACAGAGACACCGCCAGCCCGCACCCAGGCACAAATGGCACAAGTGGAACATGTGACGGCCTGATTCGTGACAGGCAATTTGTTTTGCACTTCCATTGCCATTTACATATGAACTTAAAAACTGTTTATACTGCTTTTAGGAATTGCATTTTAATATGCTGTTATGCTATTTTTCCTCTGCAAGAGAAAATTTTCATTTAAATGTGACTAGTTACTTGGGGAAAATAGGATTATATATTCAGGTTTTATTATTCCACAAAATGAAATTATTTTGTTTCACTTAGAATGCCTATGATGTAAACCACCCCTCATATCCATCCATCTCCCCTCTTCTCAACTCAGATCAAAATCAAATAAAAAAAAAGAAAAATGAGTTTTTGCTATTTCTTCCCATTCTGACTCTTTTATTGCATCTGGGGTATAGTCTACCAATTCCAGTGTATTTATACTTCTCTAAGTGAGTATTATCTCTTCTGCTTATTCATCCCTAACAAATTTTTTTTCTGACGACACTAAGAATAAAAATGAACAGTACTTTCAGATGTGCTGCTCATTCTCCTTGTCATGTCATTTTTTAAAGTTTAGCCTAAAATGACGTTAACATTTACCTAGAAAACTAAATGTGAGAGAAGAGTTAGGACAATGTGAAAAAAATAATTGGAGTGAAGGTGGTCATTATTACTCAATTTTAAAACATATTATGAAGCTATAATAATTAAAACTGTTAGACATTAGCATAAACAAGTTAATAACACATAAAATATCCAGAAATAGTGCCCAGTATATATACTTAGTTTATGAGAAAGCTGGCATTTCAAATTAGTGAGGAAAAAAGATTATTCATTAAGTTTTAGTCACACAATTGGCTAATGGGGGGGAGTGAGACATCTATCTAATTTCTTACACCAAAATATATTCCTTATGTCACAAATGTACATGTGAAAAAGGACACAGAAACAATTCTAGAATAAATCTCAGCTAAACATATGACCTTGGAGTACTGAGGGTTTTTCTAAGTATCCAAAAAAAGAAATTAAAAAAATATGTTTAATTACTTAAATGAAAATCTTTTTTATAGAAAAAAATCACAACATAGAAAGATGAATGACAACTACAGCAAGCAGCAAATACAAAATGAAAGGAAAATTTCTTTCATTTATGAGAGACTCATATAAACCAAGTGCCAGTAGAACCATCGGCAAAGGATAAAGAAGTACAATTTTAATAGAAAAAGAAATATAAATGGTGCATGAACATAAAAAGATGTTCAAACTCACTTGTAATTAAAGACATATAGATCAAAGCAATGGATTCCCTGCCCGCCACCACCACCTAGCGGAAAAGTAAAAACCTTGATGCTGCCCAGAGCTCACCCAGGTGTGGAGGGAAAGAGGCTCTTATGCACTTTGCAGGGAGAGTACACTTTTCTGGAAGATACTTAGGCAAGTTGTCTGAAAATTCAGAAAGCATGTGCCTTTTAACTCAGCAGTCTTGGGGCTCACCAGCTACCCTGTGGAAATGCTTTCAAATTTCATCAGGGCACAAGGACAGCACGTTCGCTGGAGCATTTAAAAAACAGTATTAGAAAGCTGGAAACACCTGAGGTGCCCATTCATGGAGTTTTAGTTTTAAAGTCCATACAGTGGGATTATATTCAGCTATTACAAAAAACATTGACACCCTGGCTGGTGTGGCTCAGTGGATTGAGTGCTGGCCTGCGAACAAGCCAAAGGGTCACTGGTTTGATTCCCAGTCAGGGCACATGGCTGGGTTGCAGGCCAGGTCCCCAGTATGGGGTGTGCCAGAAGCACACACACATCAACACATTGATGATATTTTTCTCCCTCCCTTTCTCCTTCCCCTCCCCTCCCCTCTGTCTAAAAGTAAATAAATAAAATATTTTTAAAAACATTGACAAGAATGAGGAGAAAGAACATGTCAGAAGGAAAAATTGCCAAGATATATGTTTAAGTTAAAGGCAACAGCAACAAAGTCTAGGTGCAGAAAACTGACCATGTGGTTAACTGTGTGAAATAAAAACCAGCGCATGCATCTGTGTGTGCGTGTGTGCGCATCTGCACGCACAGGCATCCCGTAGCTCTCCCCAAGCAAGGATTGGTCAGTGGCTGCAGTGCACACCTTTGGAAAGCTGTTTTTTTTTTTTAAACTTTTAATTTGGTATCTTTCTGGACATCCAACTTTTCTAACCTTATATTGCATGACTTTACTTATTTATTCTTTTGAATGTCTATAGAGGTTATCTCAGCAGAGAGAGAAGACTTTTTGCCTTCTTCTTAGGATCTTAGTATTCTAAAAAAAATCCTGGTAAAATACTGCATTAAAATATAAGTTAAAGAAAATAATGCCATCTTTAGTCTACCTCCAAATCACTTTCTTATTTTTCACCTTATGAGGCCATTGCTGAAACTCCATGGTTCTTGTCTTCAGATTTGGAACTAAAAGCAGGAAGTGCCCCTTATGTTCTTACATATAGAAAAAAAAATTTCTGGCCTAGATCTGAAAAGCTCATTTCCAACAGAAATGACAATGAGTCATTCAACTTCTCAATGAAAATAAAAATCTGGATGAACACAGGTTACTGTCCCCCAGGGGTGGGTTCACGTTCGTTCTCTGCTGGCATCCTTGAAGCACTTTAAATTATGAGATTCAGATTTACAGCGCTCCTGAAATCTGGGCCAACAGTCCTGCAACCTAACAGCGCCCTCTTCTGGTTCCGAGATTCACATTCAGTTGGACTGAGAAAAACTACACTTTATAGACAATTATAGAAAAAAAGTCACTTTAAAAACTGGGGGGGGAGAAGGGTTTAGTTCTCACTTCTAATGTATAAAGACAAAACAAACAAAAATTTAGGTAAAATGTAATTATTGTATATTATACACGTATATATGTATTTGTTTATGCATGGTATATATATGGTATTCTATTTATACCACATTTAATATATTTAATACATAGTATAAAATCATCTTATACACTTATACCATATGTAATATACACATGGTATAAACATGTTTATAGCATGTGTTTGTATATTATATACTATATAAATATATAATATATAACATTATATGTTATATGTGTATATTATATATAATAGCTACTATAAATATATAAATATAAATAATATAACAATATAGCATATAATATAAGTAGTCCAGTTTGATGGTACCAGCTCTAAGTTGGAACTGTTCTGACCTCAAGTCAAGTGTTTATCATATATCAGAATCACCTGGGCTTGATTAAATTTTATTTCACATAATTTTATTAAAAATGCATATATTTATCAGAATATACTAAATCTATATCTATAAAAGAACTTAATTCCATTTTTTTACTCTTAAAATCTTAAATCTTGCAGATTTAGAGATTCATGTTAAAACAGCTGTGAAAATATCACTGCATTTACTTGGAGAAGAAATAAAACTCTTGAATTTGAAATACCACCTCTTCATTCCTTCTCTCCCCCCATTTTTTAAAGAAAGTCTCTGACTGAGGAATTTTCATAGAAGAGTCTCTTGCCTAGGCCAACTACCAGAAGGACTCCATTTATGCTGGAAAGTGAGGCAGAATGCAGATTCCTTAGCCTCTTTACACATCTTCTAAACAGAGGCTGGGCAACAGCACCCCCTGGTGCCGCCAAAACCAAAATGAACCTTCTGTGGCAGGAAAGCCAGATACAAGGTCCAATGCGCTCAAGGGAGCTTCCAGGCAGCAGGTGTTTTTAAAGCTCTGATTATTGGTATTTTGGACAGGGGCAGGGATTCACAAAGCAGAATCCATCATTTAGACTCTCGAGGAACTTTCAGTTAAGTTGGGAGTAAAGACGTACAATGTCATGAGACTCCTGCATGCTGAGGATGAAGATACGGAGGAGCTGGTGCCCGATTTGATGAGGAGTGGAGAGCCATTCTTTAGGCTTAACTCCCCCACCCGCCAAATGGTTCCGTTCTTCTAAAGATTTACCTCTGCCAGTGACTACTTGTGTTTTATAGAGCTTCTATCTGCCCCCTGTCTCACCCAAACCTCTATGGTGAGCTCAGGCGATGCCTCAAACTGGTGTGTGAATGAACTTCTAGATGAAAAAAAGTTGGCCACACCCAAGCAGTAACTTCCAATAACAAACAAGTGGTAAATAAAGAGTTATTTCATTATCACATCCTCATGGAGATGCTAATAAATCTTTCCCTCGGGGTAGGAGTGTCAACTGCTGGGCAGAAATAAGCGAATTCCTCCAATGAGTCCTATGAAAGGCATGAGTTCACACACACTCATCTCTGGCCCAGTACTCACTTCTGGATCGCAGGTAGCAATCATTACAGTTTAGGAGACCGTTGCGAATCCTGACATCAGTCCCACTCACTGCGTCTCCAAGCTGTCCTTTACAAACGCCACACTAAAGGGGAGAAAGAACAGAAGTTATGAGGTGCATAAGGAATTTCTCTATAATGTGTAGTTACTGTTTCCGTGAATAGCACAATCATCACTTAGACAACCTCTACATTAGAGCATCTACCGCGTGTTAGATGCTGCCTGAAAAACTGAATTACAGCGACAACATACTTTTAGCATTTTATGGCGACTCCTTGCATTTTTCAGAGAAAGACTGTTTCAGAGAGGTTAGCTGAGTTGCCCAAGGTTGTAAAACTGGTGAGTGATGTTGGGTTAATCCCAAAGCCTGTGCTGTTAACCTCTATCACAAGCCGTTTCTGTCAATATGGAAAAACATTTTATTTTTATTTTTATTTTTATTTTAAGGTTTTATTTATTTATCTTTAGAGGGGAAGGGTTAGGGAGAGAAATATCAGTGTATGGTGGCCTTTTGTGCTTCCCCTGATGGGAACTGGCCTGCAATCCAGGCATGTGCCCTGACTGGGAATTGAACAGTGATTCTTCGGTTTGCAGGCTTGTGTTTTTTATTCTTATTTTTAATGACATTTATTGGGGTGACCTTGGTTAATAAAATTACATAAGTTTCAATGTACTATCATACATCACCTATAAATTGCATTGTGTGTTTACCACCCAAAGTCAAATCTCCTTCTGTCACCATATATTTGAAACCTAAGTACCATTTTAAGCAGTTAAATGCTAGTGGTTTTAAATAAACACTTAGCTGACAGATTATCAATTAAAACTTGCCCGTGACTAATCATTAAATTCTTTCCAGCATTTCTAAGCAGCTCAGCGTTGCCAAGTTCAGGTCAGAATTCCTAGGCAATAAATAGCTAGCTGTCCACCTTATCTTTCCCCATTAAAGGCAGAGGCACCCAGAGTAACAAATCCGCTGAGAACAGAACTCCTTTCAGCCAAGTCAGCTTGCGTGCGGGACACTATGGGACATACTGTGCTGGGGGTGCCAGAGAAAGAGACAGTGGGGTTGGTTCTGATGCCAGCCTCTTGCCGGGAGATCAGGGCTCAGTTCAGGAGTAGAGGGCGGCCTCATATTCATGCTTTCAGGTCACCTGGGACAGAGGGAGGCTTCCTCCCAACTATGTTACAAGCTGTATCTACATCGCAAAGATAGGGGATAAACCTAGGAGGTGACACATCTTAAAGCATCAGGACAGTTCCAGGAAGTGGATGATTAGCGAGAACCCAGGCCTTGGCAGCTTAGAAAGCAAGTCTTCTATCCCTCGAGAATCAGCAAGGATTCTTTGCCACCTCGATTATTTTGAACTCTGGTAAAGTTTTGGAGAACAAACTATGCTGTTGGAACATATTATCTTGGCATAATCATGAGATTTTAAAAGTACATTCCTTAAGCCTCAGAATACTCCTAGATGATTTAAGACATGCATTATCTTCACTAACTTTCCAATGAGAACATTGATAAATTGAATTTCATTAAGTCTTCACACTATGTTTTGTCCATGATAAGCTTTGCTTCCCAGTGATTGCTGATACTATTAAATGAATACTTTGGGGAACACTTCACTTACTTTCCCTTAGTTTATAGGTAAACTGGGAGTTATTTTGAACCTATGCAAGTGTACTTTATAGCTGAGGAGACTGCCAACAAGAAAGAGAACAAAATTCAAGGAGGACTTTTGAAAGAAAGAAATGACTCTTACTCAGAGCTAGAGAGTTTAGTTTCAAAAATTATACATTAATTTGAAACATGTCCATGAGCCAAAAAAAAAGTTGGGAAATACTGAAAGAGGCTAACTTATAAACTTTATAATAAATCAGTTATGACTGGTTAGCTTACCTATGTATGGGCAGGAAATCTGGGACTAGAATCTAGGCCTCCTCACTTCAGTTTATTCATTCATTCACCTAAAAATATTTATGGATACCATCTGCCAGGTGTGGAAGAAATTGTGGGGAGCCAGACAGACATGGCTCCTGCCCTTATGGAGTGGATAGTTTATATGAGAGGAGTTGATAATCATAATGAAACAGTTCAATAGTGAGTGACATAGACCATGAAAGGTTCTAAGAGGACCTGTCACAAAGGCAAGTGGCTTGGTCTGGGTGAATAGGGCAGCTTCTCAGAGGAAGTGCTATTCAGTTTGGGACCACAGACACTCATTCGGAGACCTGCAGCTTTGCAACGAGCTCTAACCACACTTAAGTGACAGAAAAATCTTCAACATTAAGTCACAAGAGTTTGAGGCACAGCAAAGATATTACATGCCAAATAAATCCACATAACCCTAAAGAAGTCTCATTGTCTTCCCAGGGTAGCATTCTGTTTCCTGCTACCATCGACACTCTGCTTTAGCAACAAAACCTGGTTTGTGGAGGTACATTGCACAAACCTGTTTTGCTTCTTCCTAACCTGACATCCCAGAGGGATGTGTGATCACAGAGTTTCATCATGAAGGATGAATTCCACACACACTTCTGTAGGGGGACCTCACGAACAAAGGCCATTGTGATTTCCAGGAGGTATTTCCCAGCGTAGAACGATGCCAAACGACATTAGGACACTGTACTTAGAAGAGAGATGAATACATACCCTAAAGCACTGGATGTGAAAATAGAGATTGAGGGTCTCGATGATCATCGCAGCTCCTTTCCCCAAAGGAAGCCCACAGGAAGAGCACAGCTTCTTCCCGCTTATAGACCTGCGTTTAAAGCCATAGATAATAACAAAGCATTTAGAATAGCTGGTTAAATACATAAGCATGTAATCTTATGCAAAAAAGATGAAAACATGGATTTTAAAAATGTTTGTATCATGAGTGGAATGTCAGCTACTGAACTGACGAGCAGAAATGAAGCATTAGACATAATTTGCAAACAAGTGTTAGACTAAATGCAATAGGCCTCCGCTGCGGTATAGAATTTGGCATGCATGCGTACGTGTGTTTGTGTTATTTGTTATAAGAGTTTGTGTTGTGGTTTATTCAGCCACAGTGATCAAATGCAGTGAAATGATGCAATGTATTTATACATTCATATGTTTATAGAAGCCCTAAAAGATAATGAAGTTTAGCTTTACTGAGGTTTCCAAATTGCTTTACAATTTTCTATAATTGATTCACTGGCCCACTGGGGAGTTTCTTTTACCTATTTAGAAAAAGAATCTTTTCTGTTTAAAAATAGAAGGGCAATTATGATACGGTCCAACAGGTTCCGGGTGGATATGGGATCTAATCCCTGCTTTGTCACCAAGCTCTGTGATGCGGTGTAAAGAACTCACTTTGGGTTTCCCTTCCACCTTCAGAACAAGAGGATTGAACTAGACAATCTCTACTGCCTCTCCCAGGGTGGACACTCTGCACTCTGTAATCTAGAGTCACACCCGACATCCTCTGTGAGTTGTAAGCCCTTGCGGACACGGGCTGCACGTATCCCCTCTCTGTTCTCCGGTGGCCCCTGGCACGGTGCCCACCGAGGGACTAGCACCGGACCCAGCAGACGGCCACAGCACAGGAGGGCTGCCTGCGAAGGCAGCTTTCCCACAACTCGGATCAGACTGCACTGCTGCCTGTTGTCTCTTGGAAAATTACTCAAGAAACGGGAAAATATGCAATGTATTCAGAAGTCAATGGGGTAGAGAGGGACAGTGGAAACAGAAAGGAAGACAAAAGGAAAGAGGAAGAGTTGCCCTGAGCAAACCCTACGTACTGGGATTTCCCTCTTATCCAGTAGTTAAATGAAATTTCTAAATCAAAGAAAACCTTGGAGTACTCAGTAATTGGTCTCTCCAGTGAATGGGAATTTGGGCAGCTTTTAGGAATATCATGGGGCCCAATTAATGTCCAGAAGCAATTCTCAGAGAGCTTGAGCAGGGGAAGGGAAGGAGGAGGTTTTGTTGCTCAGCCCCCGCCTAGTTCTCTGTTAAGAGCCATCAGCCTGGAAGGACCGAGCCATCTTGGAAGGAAAGGCGCCAACTGAGGAACCCAGCAATTGTCTGGTGGATTTTATTATTAGATTGCAGATTCCACACAATATAATTAAAGGCCTAGGCCCGCATCCGTGCCAACGTCACACACTTGGCTGGTACGCTGCAGACAGATGGGAAATGTGTTCTTTCCTCCTGCCTGTGTGTATGTTGAAAGAGACATGATGGACAAGCCCCTCAAAATCATGTGGCAAGCACTAATCCAGTTAAAATTATGCTTGGCAGGCTCTCTTCAGAACAGAGCCACCCCAGAAAGGCCTGCTGACCTCTTGTACCTGTTTGGTGACTGGCCAGGAGGGGTGGGAGGACAGGGGGACAAATGTCCTGCCTGGAAGTTCTCTCGAGGGCTTTTCCTGTAACATGGTAAAGGAGCCAGAAATTATGACAAGGAAAGAGAAGCCCAATCCTACAAGAAAAGACATTTTAGATAAGAAAATAAAAATTTCCTTGATAAACAAATATAAGACCAGAGAGCATCCTAGAGGGAATTTTTCTATAAAGGACAAAAACCGATAATTCCACCCAGCCAAGACTGTACATGCATTGTCTGCACAAGATCAAAACCAGGCTGGCACCATTGAACAGAAAAGACAGAAGATTTTTCTCATTTTCATTTTGGCCAGGTTCTTGGCTGATTCAAAATTGCATGCTGAGTTAGATATAAAAATTATAGACTGGGTAGGGGGGGTAGGGAAGATGAGTAGAGATACAGGGAAAAGCTTGTACAGAGAGCCCAGAGATAAAGGATGGAACTAAAGGAGGTATTTTTCAGTGAAGTGGCTTCCACCCCATCGATAAACTCATTCTGAGAACATGTGATCTGGGGGGTGGGGGTTGCGCACCTCCAAAGCACAGAGGTCCCAGCCAGAAGCTACTGGGGTGGTTTACAGGGGCTGTTGGTTGCATAAGCCCTGCCTGTGGTCAAGCTGTCAGGTCCAGGATCTTACTTATCAAAGTCAGTTTCATTTGTAAACAAAGGGACAGAACTCAGGGAAAGAAGCAAGGGTAAGAGGAAGGCCAACACAGGGGTGAACGGAGCGTCTGTCTTGTGACTGCTTTCAGAATAACTCCCTGAGCCCCTGCCCACCCAAACTCCCCCCTCGGGCAGAGCTTGTTTTCTCCAAAATGTCACATATTCATGTAATATGCTAAAATATAAATAACATTGCAAAAAAAAAAAAGGTCGAAAATCACTTCCATGTGAGTTCAGCTTTATTGATTCTGCGTGTCATCTGGGCAAGTAGAAACCAAGCTGGGTAGACAGAAGAGAAAAGGGGGAAATGGGTCTAAGACTGCATTTAAAAAATGTGACAGGGTAAAAAGATGAACTTATAAAACAAGCCATTATCATCATCATCACCATCATTGTCATTGTCACTACCATCACCTGTACTACACGGTTCTTACTATTTCCCAGGTACTAAACCTCATAGGTAGGTATTATTACTATTTCCACTTTATACCCATGGAAACTGAAGCAGAGAAAGATTAATTAACTTGCTCAAAGCCCCGTGCAGGCAAGTGGCTGAATCAAAACTTGAATCCAGGTGGCCTGGCTCCAGGTGGAACTACTGATGAATAATGAATGCTATGTTTTTAAAACGGATTACAAGGAACGTCTAGTTCAAATATGATCTTATTGTGGAACTGTGGGTTCACTTTGAATTCCTCCACCACTTAACCAGTCAAGTACTCTGAATAAGTTATTTAATTTCCCTGAGCCTCAATTTGCTCACCTGAAAAATGAGAACGGTAACCCAGTTGAAGTTATTGGGAGGTTTAATGAATTAATTTACAAAAAGAAGAGAAGAGATATGTAAATCCCTCAACACAGTGCCTGTTCTATTGAAATGTTTTAAAATGTTAGGAACTATTATTATTATAAGAAGATACAAGTCTTATAAAATTAGAATGCAGCCTGGGGTAGTTACTTAGAGAATGATAATGAGAGAAAACCATTTTTCCTTGAAAAAACATTTGTCAATAGATTCTGAGACATTGTAATTCACTTAAATAAATAAATTGCTAATACAGCATGCCTTCGAATTCTTCCCAATGTTTAATTTATGGGCTAACAACATTGCTTTGCCTCTCTCAAATTGATAATTCAGAGTATATAATTACTTGCCTGGAGACTGTCCTAAATTTCCATAAGTATTTCTTACCTTGTCAATGAGATTCAATGGAGAGAAGGCACGAAATGCTGCTAACATCTTGCCATCACATGCTTTTTCATTTTCCCCCTTCTTAGCCAATACATTTTAAAAAGATTTTGTTTATTTATTTAATTTTAGAGAGAGGTGAAGGGAGGAATTAAGAGAGGCACAGAAACATTAATGTAAGAGAAAAACATCAATTGATTGCCTCTTGTCCACACCCCGACCAGGGACGGAACCTACAATCTGGGCATGTGCCCTGACCAGGAATCAAACTGGCCGCCTTTTTCTTTGCAGGATGATGCTCCAACCAACTGAGCCACACTGGTCAGGACAGTGAATACATTAAAAAAAAAAAAGAAAGAAATTCCATGTCCATCTTTGGTTACTCACTTCCGCCTTTCATTCGGTGACTCAATCTGATGGTTAATGCTTTTATCCAATGGGAGGGTTTTTGGCTTCACATCTTCTAAAGTGTTCATTGGTGGGTTTGATACCTGCTGATTCCGGGATGGATCTGAGGCCAGATAAGGAACATAAATTCAGCGCCCAGTAGCATCGCCTTTGCTTAACAAGATACCCTTCTGTAAAGTGCTAATGGCCTGCTGAGGTCTCAAGGTGATTCCCTGGGGGGTCTGGGCACTTGGTGGTAGGAATGGATTCCTGGTGCTATTTCACATAAGCTAGAAGAGAAGCTTGCAGCCAATGGAAATCATATGTGTCTGGACAGTAAGAGGGGCCGTCTTACAAGAATTTGGACATCAGGGTTCATCTTTTCCATCCTTACCCTGAGCTAGCTGTGGGTTCACCCCACAGTGTGGGGCCCCAGCTTCTGTAACGAACTGGTCGTCCTGATGGGTTCCTTTCGATACAGGGTTCTCCGAATCAGTCAAGGCCCCCTGAGTAAGGCTGTTAAAATAAATAAATAAATAAACTTCAGAACAGATGAAAGCAACTGAACTGACAGTATTGATCCTGTTCCTTAGGGTATAGAAGTACCAATTTCAATATGAAAAAAAAATAAATGGGCCAACTACATGCTTATTTATCCTTTTTATTTTAAACTAGGTTTAAGTACTCTGAACTGCTACTCATTTTTACTATCCGACAGTTTAACAAGCTTGACAAACCATCATTTCTGATGTCCTTCACACCTCCCTGTCCACACAGCAATTCATTCTAATAATTTCAAGGGATGCCCAAGCTAACTGCTGTCCTCTTCCAGATTTTCATGAGAGGACTTCCTGAGGAAATCATCTGGGCCACATGGGACTTTGGCAGCCCGTGGAAATCTACTAGCCTTTCAGTAGCTTCTGTGTGCCAAGCTACAGAAGTGCAAGAGATTTTTTTTAAGTTTCTGGCGACAACAGGGAATGTCTGGAGAGCTGGCAAAAATGCACGTGAAATGCTTATCAGTGGTACTCAAACATTCCTGATGGGTGGCTTTCATTTCATAAAACTGGGGAGTCCCTTTAAACAGTGTTCACTGAAAGCAGGTATGCTCTTCCGAGGGCTCTGAAGACTCTGGAAGTGGCCCCAAGCCCCCATACTCTATGACTCAACCGGTCTTCTAGCTGTTGAGCAGAGGAGGATTCACAGAGCAAATCCCACCAGAAGAGCTCAGCTCTCGGCCAACCCTTCACTCGACCAATCTTCGAAAATCAGGTCCTTCTGAGGATAGCTTGTGTGTTGTATAAGCACGCACATTTGTCAATATCTACCTGGAATCTCAGAGTCCCAGAGGCAAATATCTGTCTGATAAAGAAGGTGCTGGTGGCAGAGCCTCCTGGGTTTCTGTGAGTCCCTTCTAGGTTAAGTGTGGGGTGGCTGTGATAAACCCTCGAGAGCCCCTAGCTACAACCATATTCTATCCTGTCTGAGCTAGCTCTGAATGTGGCAGGGACTTCTGGGGGCCCTGTTCTGACATGCACATCCCATGGGACAGACTAGACCCCATGGGTAGAGTGGTTGCCCACAGCCAATCAATTTGTTGGTTATTCTTTATATTATCACACAAGAGTAAACGTGGCTTTTCATGGCTCAGAGGATACTGATGAAGTTCGGGCCCACAGTAGAACCACTGGAGATGGGACCCCAGCGCATCATTCCAACCTCTGTTCCTCTGACTCATTAACCTCTTCAGGTGAGTGGTGTTTAGGTTTGGGGCTTTGAATTGATCCCGTGCTCCTTTTCTGACCTCTACTGTCTCCCCTGATTTAAAAGAGGTTTTGCCTATTTAAAAATAAGGCTATTTATATTCAACAGCACAGAGACACTGACTTCAGAGTTATTAGAATGCATTCGGGCAATATGTAATGTATTACTGGAATGATCACTTCAAGGCCGAATGTGCTCTGCATCAGCAATGAGGACTCCTGCCGGGAGAGGACAGGCAGAGCCCGGTTCTGCACATCGAGACAGACAGCCTGGTGGGGCTCATACCTGCCCTTTGCCTCCAGTGGCTCGCTTTCGCTAGTCTTCCGCAATAAGTCATGGATGTCCCCCTGGAATGGTTTCTTCTGTCTTGAGTCTTGTTCTCTTTCCCGACAGTTTTCCTGGTCCATCTTATTCTAATGGGGCAAACAAGGATACTCTTAAATATAATTTTTATACCCCCTGGACAACAATTATCTCTGGCTATGGGATAATTGAAGCTTTTTTTTTCAATCACATTGTCTACAATTTAAAGAACAGTTGTTCAAATTAACTGAATAGTAACTGAGTTCTCATGATTTAAAATAAACATGTAATAGGGATTTCTCTCAAAAGTTATCACACAAGGGAGTTGGTTAGAAAACCCACCTTTCAAAATTGCATAGTCATAGAACTGCTCATTTCAGGACAAATGGCTTTCTAGTGCCCACTGGTTGTCTTTTTTAAAAAAATATTTTATTTATTTATTTATTTTTAGAGCGGGGGGAAGGGAAGGAGAAAGAGTGGGAGAGAAACATCAATATGTGGTTGCTTCTTATGTATCCCCTACTGGGGACCTGGCCTGCAACCCAGGCATGTGCCCTGGCTGAGAATCGAACCAGCAACCCTTTGCTTCACAGGCCCATGCTCAATCCACTGCGCTACGCCAGCCAGGGCTGGTTGTCTATTTTTAATGCAGATTATGGGCTATCCAGGGTTTGGTATGACTTCTGTCCACCACCTTCGTGATCACATTTGGTGGATATGGCAGTAGACCGGCCTTTCTGGGCTCCCTACAGCCATGGAAGAAACATGTAAACCTCGTGGGGAATTTTAATGGTGGGTTAGAAGCAACTGGAATGGAGGCTGGTGGAGAGCCTACTGTTGGCATCCTGCTGCTGCCACCCAGCGCAAAGGGACGTGCGTCATGGCAGAGAGGAATGATTGCCTGCTAAACGAATGAATGATGAGCAGTAAGAAGCATATTCCAGCACGTGGCTCACAAATCAGGACCTTGCCAGCCATTGCAGAGAGGCTTGGTTGCTAGCCTGTGGGGGCAGATCTGGCCTCAGTAATGACTGTTCTGCTCCTTGAGAAGTGACTCTAGGATTTGGCCGTGGCAGTGACAATACCAAGGGGTACAATGGCCATGTGGTAGCTGATGTGATTCTAGGGAAATAGCCAGTCCTGGATTTAAACTTGTGGAAAACTTGGCCCTGTGGGTTGGTACTTCTCTCTGCCAAAGTGCTTTGAATCGATGGCCTTACCACTGTTCCGCTGCCTTCCGTCACGGAGGAGGACGTGGAGAGCTGGTCTGCAGAGGTTGAAGAAATGGTAAACGGGACCACAGTGTCTTCAATTATTTTGCGCTCCTAAGAGAAAGAATGGGAATTAATGAAAGGGATAAAAATCAAATATCACATCTGTCAAGAGAAAGATTTCATTAAGGAACTGTAGAAAAAAAGACATCGGGGTAACATACAAACAAGCAGGGCATTAAAAAAAGGTCTTATTTTCTAAATGCATGTAAATCAGATAACACTCTCTATGGATAATGATTTAGAAATTAGCATTTGATTTAGTACAAAAACAAAGTCTTCACAAATTAATTAGTCAGTGAGATTCAAGAAGCCTTATTAGAAATGCTACAGGGATTAGATTATGTACAAAAATTATTGTTGAAGATAAAATTCACAATAATATTCATCATAAATAAATTTTAGATAATATACATAAAATTTAGCTCCCCTCAAATTCTCTAGTGTGGTCTGGTTTGTTCATCTAAAAAAATGAAACATACAAAACCAAATATTCCTCCCCACCGTTCCTTATCACTGTACTCACTATACGGCACTAACTCTCTTTACTTAATCTTTTTAGTAGCATATAGTGATTTCAGTGGTATGGATTCATTTGGCCTTGATGTCACAATTATCTTCATAAAATTAGTTCATTACCACACGTGCTTTCTCAAACACACTGCAAATAAAGTGATACTTCCATGTCATCTCTCTAAGATAAATTAAGAATCTGACTCTCTGACTAGAGATCAAATATAATTATATTGTCTCTTGACTGTAGGGGACCGGTTTGTTTGGTTTGGCAAATGTGACTCAGCTCTGTATGGAAAACCTACAGAAGTGAGGTGGTGGGCAGGAGCCAGACCTCCAAACCGAGTTTTCCCATGGGAATCAGGCCTAGAAAGTGCATACAGATTGTTATGGCTTGTTCTTGCTAAAACTCCACCGCCCTGGTCTAAAACAACAAATGTGTATTGTCTATCTTCAAGGTAATATCCAGAGCCTGTATGAGTTCTCCCAAGGACAGAGCTAATCAGCTCATTGCCTTTCCCTTCTGTGTGTTATTTAATTTCCTTGATTGTACCTAAAATGTAGACAATAATATTCTATGTAATAGATAATAAATCCTTCTTTGATGTAAGACCTGAGAAAAATAATAAAAGCCTGTCTAGGCAAGGGTCGGGGCACTCCCCTCTTGTGAGAGTGGTCAAGACACTCAGAGGCACTTTCTTTCCCAAGAGAGTAGCCGCACTGTCCCCTTTTGCTCCACAGGATTGCTGTTGCCTGTGCATTTATTCTCGTTGTCAGTCACAACAGGCGGACACTGCTGGCTGGAGTCAGCCACCCTTGACCATGACATAAAACACCCTTATCACAAACTAAACTGGGGAGACTTGTGGTCTTTTAGTACCTACTGGATATGACCCCTTCAAAGAGGCTGATGGGCGCTGATGTGAGTAAGGAGAATTAGATACAGCTGCAGGCACACACATACCAAAGACACGAAAATTATGGATTGACTTTGAGGAAACAGGACCACAAGATCAAATTGCTTCTTGGAAACTTCCTACCTCCTCGTAGTATCTGCGTTCTTCTTCTTCCACTTCCTTTTGGGCCTTTTCCCACTCTTCTTTCAGCTTGTCCTGCTCCTTCTGGTATCTCTCCTGTTAGAATTTCCAGAGACTGTGCTCAACTGACCATGGCATGCCTCACTGGGGCTTTCACCAGCTCTAAACCACATCTATCACATGTTGTGAGACTATCCCCTTGTTGTAACATTCTGAATCTAATCTCTTCACGCAGCACAAGGGAAGTACTAATTTATGGTGCTCGAACATGTTAGGGACCTAAAAATCCGAAGAACAGTGCACAGTGGGGCCAAAAAAGCGTAGGTTTATAGTTGTTCATGTGAAAAATAATGCCATAATTAATAAATAATAGAAGAATAAACTGTTTTGCATATACACAACTCTATGCCTACTTTTGCTTCACCCTGTCTTTTCTGCTATTGTTTTATAGGGTTGTTGTTCAGATATACAAGTAGGCAGTGCTTACAGAAGGAGGAAAAGAGTGAAAGATTCTAAAATCTTCCTTCACGTGGGTTTTGTCCCTAGGAGATAGACTAAACCAATAGTTTGCTTTTTACTGGGCCTTTCAGAGATGAGTTTTGCCGTTCTGTTAATAGAAATATGTTTGCTGCTGGGAGCATTTACGAAAAGATTTTTAAAAACCCCAAGCTTGCAGAAAGGTCCAAAGTGGACAAGATGATAATTAGCTGAGTAGCTGAATTACTCTTTGCTTGTAGTCATTCTACCAAAATGGAATCTCCCCAGCTTTAAGTAACTTCTGAATTAAGAGTAGCCTTTTAAACAGTCCATTAGAAGGCTTCAATACCAGAAGTGCCATTACTGTTTCCAGAAATAATACAACACTAGTCACCACTTCAGGGAGAAAAGAATAAAATACTCTGAATAAGAACAGCTTTCAAAATGTGACTGGAGTTCCTGACAGCTGACTAGAAGAAATGAATAAATGGAGATTAAAATTTATGCCTAAAATGAGAACTGACACCCCTGGATGCCTTGGGAACCGCATCCCTGACGTGACAGAGACAGAGGGGTCACCGAAGTGCATGACACACAGTCAGCTATTTTAGGCTGATTATTGTCAACCCTCCCACTGAGGCTAAAACAGGTCTGTGCTGTTTTATTTTTTTAACCTTCCTGGGCAGCACTGAGGTCTCCTCCAGGTCTTGCCTGTTATGTGCAAAATAACATTTCAGGAGCAAAAGGGCTTTCTTGGGATTGTTGAGAGCCTGCTTTCTCATGAATGTTCTGGCAAAACCATGGCTGTTCAACCTACCCCAGGCTCTTCATTCCAGGTGAGAATTTTGTTATCATAACCTAGTATTGCAGAGAGGGACTTCAGGGGCTTTTCAAGTGGAGAAAATGAACCTCAAAACTTCACAAAAGCTTAAAACCAGGCACAGCATTTTAGGTTTATTGGTTCGAGAAGCTCGTGTCACGTGCTCCGGTCAGCAAGAAGATGGGCTGAGAAAGGTTAACGTGGGGAGTGAAAGATGAGCGTCTGCACCCCTCCCTTCTTCCCCACAAACACCTCTCCCACACTGGGCAACGGTTCGGTGGAACAGGAACAAGACACATGCATTGGTAACCGTGGCCACCTTTCCGAGTGTAACAGACAGAGTGCCATCACGGAAAGCACACTGGCTGATGTCTGTACTCTGTGGCACTTCAGACACCTGGCTGTTCACCACGTAGTCGGAAAATGGGCGTCTGGTCTTCAGACCAGCAGATGGCCAGGGCTGGTCTGGGGTCTCCCAAAGGACATAAAATCCCAACAGCTCCCGGATTTTGTTGAATCTGGTCCTTACTAATGTTTTGATATTGACGATTTCCCTCTATGCAATTTTGAAGTGTCAAATTTAACTGGCAGACCTAAAGCCACGCTACATATGCTTAGCTGTCTAAACTGACCCCTGCAACCCGCCCCTGGGAATTAAGCCAAAGGATTAGAACAAAAAGATTTTTTTTAAGTAAAATAAAGTTACAGTAAGCACTGCTTTCTGTACAGCAGCAGAAAGCCATCAAAATTAATGAGATTTAAACTTCTTATTTATGATTATTTTGGTAAAATCAGTACTATTGGGGGTATAGCAGCAAGAACCTGAGGTGGGTTTTTTTTAAAGACTTTATTTATTTACTTTTAGAGAGAGGAGAAGGGAGGGAGAAAGAGAGGAAGAGAAACATCAACATGAGAAGAAACACCAATTGGTTGCCTCTTGCACATGCCCTGACCAGAGGGACCCGGACTACAACACAGGCGTGTGCCCTGACCAGCAGCGGAACCGGTGACCTCTCGCCTTGCAGGATGACGCCCAACCAGCTGAGCCATGCCTGTCAGGGCATGGAAAGAACGTGAGTTTTAAAGTCATCCAGTCTTAGATTTGAAGCCAGGCTCAACCCTTGTTAGCGGTGTGACTTTTGGCCAATTAATTTAACTTCTTTGAGCTTTAGCTTCTTCAGGTGCAAAGTAGGGCTAATAAGACATGCTTTGAGGAGTTTTATGAGAATGAAATTAGATAAAATATGTCCAACACCGCCGCAGTTCCTGGCACACCGCAAGTATCCAGTTTCTCAAGGTTACTTTTTAAAGTCCTGTTACTCCACAAAAGAGGCCTGAAGTGACAAGGAACATGACACATTTCCTCCCAGAATTTTTCTAGAATTGAAAATTAGCAGCTTTTCTCAGAGGGAGCAAACATTTCTCCTCAAGGAGCAAGAAAGCCAGGCCACATTTTATTTCACACGTATGCTTTCAAAAAGCTTTTTGACGATTCATTCCCACTGCTCCTGCGACCAGATGTCACTGGCGGCTGAGGAGGTGGTGAGTGCCTGACTCGGCCCTTCATCGATACCCAGAGGTTGGAAAGTTTTTTTTAAAGTGAAACGCTTTTTCCTTGTGTTCGTGTCATTGCAACCTCTGGCAGGAGGAGTTAGACATGGGCATTATGTCCCATGGACACAAAATGCACTAGCAGCTTCCCTGACTTCTGAGAAGAATTTGATTTCATGTGCTTCCTGTGCTAAAAGTCTATTTACTACAACAGGAACTAGAAGAGCATCATCTGGGGAAAAAAAAAGGCAGCACACCCAGCCGTCCTACCTGGAGCAAACGTTCCTGCTCCTGTTGCCATTTTTCCTGTCGCCTGCGCTCCTCTTCTGGGTCCCATGCCCAGAACTTAAACTGCTTAGAAAATAAAAACATGGTCAGAATCGAGCCATGTCCTCAAGGCCTGGCCAGGGAAAGGGACACAGTTAGCCTACGGGCTGGCACTTGTATGGACACACAGAAGCAGAAGCCTTCACGCATCTTCATATATCTGTGTTTGCAGCCACCATTTTTTAATCTTAGTCCCTCTTTGGTTTACTTCCGAGAGGCTGATAGGATTCTTTGAACCTTTCTGGAGCTAATGAAAACATGAAGTAATTAGCCCCTGGCATGGGCAGGCTTTTGCTTCATTTCTTTTAGAAGTGATTTCTTAAATGTATTCACGCTCTGGTGCATGAGATACTCATTCTGCATATTGATCCTGGGTCCAAGCAGATGGGGATGCTTATTTCAGCAGAACTGCATTTTGTAAGAAGCGATGCTTGCCCCACTGTAGAACTATGTCATCTTTTATACTGCTCTTGCGTTCCATACTGGCCTTCTCTGAAGTGGGTTATTTAACTCACCACCACCCACCAGCGTCGCCTGATGTCTGGGCAATGGGGAGTCCCTGCTCTGGGACCCACACACGTAACAAACATTCAAATCCTAGGCCTTTTTTTTTTGTCTTTTAAGAAAGATTTTTGTCAGGGGAGGGAGGTGGGGATGGCTGGGGTAGGGGGTGGGAGTGGTAGAGGGGAAATGCAGACAACTGTACTTGAACAACAATAAAATAATTTCAAAAAAAGAAAGAAAGGTTTTGTGAGTTTGGGAACCAAGTCAGTATATGAAAACACGGGGATAAAAATGTGAGTCCCAGTGGGCCCCCAGGCCACAGGATGTATGACTGAGAGGGTCTGGGGGGAAAGAAATCCCAGTGGGTCCCTGGGAAACCAGCAAAAGGAGGGCTGCTGGGTTTGAAGTTGGCCTCCCCTATCACCAGGAGTAGGTACCAAAGCAAAGCAGGTTCCCCAATAACTGTAGCTCCTACTTCCCCCGATGGGATAATTTTGAGAGACACTTAGAACTGCTTGGGAACCTTGAAAAAAAAAGTAAGGTGAGAGCCTGGGGTGAGGTGAGGTCAGGCAGAAATACCTACCCTGGCTGCCTGGGTAGCTCCACAGAAGCAGCCTGGGCCAAGGTTTAATGGGTCCAGTTACTGCCCAAAGATACCTGGGTGATCCCACCTTCCACACAGCACTGCCCCCCACAGACCCTCACGACACTCAGGTGTGTGACCCCGAGGCTGGCATCTCCAGGATGAGAATGCAGGCTGGGCCACAGGTGTTGCTTGATCTATAACTTTATAAATATTTATAACTTTAGTATATTTAGACATATGATTGGAACTCTTGCTGTGGTTCCTGCAAATGTTGGGATGGCCACGAAACATTACGGATAGGAGGGCAGATGAGGTGGGGAAATGTACTTCCTCTCTGCCCCTGTTGGGGTTCACGCTGCACATCAGCAGACGACCGTTCCCACAAGTTGTACAGGGCAAAAACCATTAACTGGATATAACCCAAAGTTTCCCAAATTGCCTTGGATGACCAGAAAATATCATCCAGATGTGAATGCCAGATGAGACATTCTGATGGACTAATAATGTTGAACATTGGCTCTACTGGGCATTTTCCAAACACTTTCAAGCAGTTGAAATGTTCAGAACCTCAGGAGCACAGCCTTTCTTTGTGTTTTGAGGAAAAAGGGTGTGGTTGTGTGAATAAAGCCATTGGGAGCCCATTGGGGAAAAGTCTATTAGGAAAATAAAAGACACAATCAGGATTTATTTCATTTTCAGATGTCTGGAGGTAGTAGTCATTGCAGGAGCCAGTCAAGTAAGGAGGAAGCAGATCAAAGGAGGAGGTGTAGGGCAGGGGATTTAGGCTCAGAAGATCATTTGTTAATGAGCGAGAGAGAAAACCAATAAGCATTTTCAGAGGAAGATACCAGTGTGATAAACATGAGGGATGGAACGATGACCATGTTCCTTGGCAATTATTTGCTGAGCACTTAATATGGGCCAGGCGGGGATACCAGCTGGCAAAGTCTCAGAAGCGTGGAGCTTACAATGAACTGAGTGTGAGTGTGAGTGTGGTATGAGAGGGGTGGGGCTGTATGACCAAATACATAAACGATCATCAGAAGACAATGGGAAAACCATCTTAAAGGAGATATAGGAGGTGCTAGAGAAAGTTGGAATAGAGAGCATTTAGCCCGCCATGTGCCATTTATAATTTACCTTTTTACAGATCAGTGTCTGCCTTTGTGTTAGGGGTTACTCAAGGGCAGGGAGGACCCTTTATCCCTCTAAGTATCGCAAGACCTGCCTTCTATAAATATTTGCTGAATAAATGAATGGACTCCATGATGGGTGATGCATCTCCTCTTCTCTTTCTTTCATAGACCTTGACCCTGTAGCTTAAGGCCACTCCAAGTCTGACCAAAAATGGCTGAGTCTGCTGAGGTCAGCATAATCAAACACATACTTTCTCTTTTCTTTTTCCTTCCTTCCTTCCTTCCTTCCTTCCTTCCTTCCTTCCTTCCTTCCTTCCTTCCTTCCTTCCTTCCTTCTTTCCTTCCTCCCTTCTTTTTTGAAAATTCTTTTACTTTTCTATTCTACAAAAAACTATTTACCACCAAAAGAATTTCAAATTTGGCTAGGTATTTCTGGAGAATTCACTTATAATAGGTCAGTAACCTATCTTTTTCTTGTTCTATTTTCCATAAACAGAAATAAGAATGTTTCTTTTTAGGGTGCCCTCCCTCTCCACCCCTAATTAGGGGGTAGAAGAACAATGTGACATTGCTGTTCCCACGTAATTTTAAAGGAGAACTGGTCAGTACCATGAATGCCAGCTGGGGGTCCTCCTGGGGGTCCTGGGATTCCAGGTCCCTATGGCAGTACCTAGCTTCCCAGGAAGCTCAAGATCCCCAGTATTAGCTGAGACGCAGCCTCCGCAAATGCTGCTACTTCTGGAATGTGCCTGGAGATATCGAGGGTTATGTGACACCCGGGCCCCTTCTCCATTCTGCGCAGGCCCTTAGGAATTCCCAAAGTGAGGCAATTTACTTATACGTAAGAACTGGTATTGGCCATGGCAGGCCTCTTGGACGAGCCACTGGGGAGGATTTGTTCACGTACTGGGTACTGTGCTAGGGACTTCTGAGTAAGTACTTCAGTTATTAAGGCCCACAACACCCCGAAAGAAAGGTATTATCATCTCATTGTATAGTCAAGGAGGTTGAGGTTCAGAGAAGATATGTAAACCTCCAGAGTCCTACTGTTAGTCAGTCTGGAATCAGAAGCACAACAGTGGTTAGGCGGCTGCACCCAACCGGCTCTGCGCTGCAGCTGACGGTCCCGCAGAGGAATTCTGCAGATCCGCCGGGAATGTCAGAGGGTGGAGAAGCGCGACCAGCTCGGCGCTGCGCATGCGCAGTTTAGAGACGAGCCAGGTCCACTGACCGTGTGTTCAGACAGAATTGAGCAGCGTGGAATTGGACAGCATCACGTGCTTTGACATTTTAATTAGTAAATGCTTCACTGAAATCAAAAAGTTGAAAGCTAAATGTATGGTTCCTATTACTCAAAGTACCGACTGTGACGAGAGGCGGGGCAAAGACGTCTTGGGTCTCCTAGAAAGAGCGCAGGCGGGGCCCCGCTGCCAACATGCACTGCGCTGAAGTATCGTTCTCATTTAGAAAATGGCTTTGAGACCTTACAGCAGGAGCACATTTTAATACTAATTCCTATCGTCACATGCATTTTAATTGCTACTTTCACATTTTACTTTCCTGACTCCCCGTTTTGTTTCCAGATCACGACGCCACATAATGATAACCCACATCTTCATAATTCACCTGGTGAATTATGCGTGACTTCCAGTTATTCTTGTACAGTCAATTGTTTGAAGCCCATTTTTGACTGAACCCTCTTTCAGTGAACCCAATACTCTGTAATTAAAATCACACTAAACGTATGACCTTATTCCTTAAAATGAGTTACTTACAGGTGTAGTTGCAGGTGATTTTTCACTGCTTGGAGAATCCACTGTACAGAAAGAAAGGAAAAAAAGGATCACAATGTGAGTAGCTTCCTACTGTGTTTCTCTTCCATCGCCTCAGTGGAGTGTGGTTCCGTGTCAGCTTCAGACCATTTTTTGTAAGCCAAGGGCATCAGAAAATTATCAGAAAGCAGACCCCTGAAGCAGCTGGTACCCATCACCAAAAGTATTCACAACCAGTGTAATATGGTTGAACACATCAATTAGCACCAAGTACTAGACTAGAGGAAGGAAGCAAAGTCTATTCCTACAAGTGCTGATTTTTAATGCATCTTGTATTCTGGCTTGATTGACAGTTCCCTCCCTGTCTGACATGGAGAAGTATCATACAGAGAGAGGCCAGATGTCACCCAGGAAGTAAAGAGAGTGACACAGTTAACAAGAGAACCATGTTCCTGGTAAACACTTCTAATCTCTGTGTTTTTTTTTAAAAAAGAGGACAATAATAAAGAATATTATTATTTCTTTAGATTTTCAAAATCAAAGTAAACTTCTGGGAATTTCCCCCCAATTTTAGTATAACTGGTACTGGTATCAAAGAACCAGCTCTTTGCTAACTGTGTGCCAGAAACAAGCATTTTTTTTTTCTGAAATCAGAAGTGAAGAAAAACCCCAAACATTATTGGTTGCCGGCAACATGGATTTTTGCACAAAAGGAAGACAGCTAGCCAGTACGCATTTTACCTGACTGGGAGAAAAACTGGGAGCGTCGCCAAGAGTTCTGAACTCTAAGCGGAACACTGGCAGTGCCAGGAGACTCTAGATCAGGTGGCAGAACAGAACAAACAGAAAAATCATGAAAATGAGGCTGCGTTACATAGAACCACGCTCCCATGTCCCGGGTCTGGCTATTCAAGAACTGAGAGTGGAAGAATCTAGAGTGTAAAGTATCTCAACAAAACTCATCTGAAACCTGAAGACATGGACGAAAGTCAACAGAAATGAGACAGTTTATGCTGTTGTCTGTCTTCGTTGGTATTAGGTGAAATTTGATAGGCTCACATCTAATGGTGATATGGTTAAAATGTTGCATCTCAAAATAATAAGATGATACACCGTGAAACAGCAAAATACACAGTTTTTGAAGAACTGTGCATTGCTTTTGAAGAACACTACAAAAATCTACGGCAGCTGAGATGAGTTCAGTTGTTACTTTGTACGCTTTACAAAGGTCAAGTACGAAAGTCTGTGGCAGAAGTTAGATGTGTGGAACCAAAGAGTGTGCATGTGTATGTGTCATGTGACGGAATCAAGCAGACACAGGAGCTCCTTCGAATCCTTAAACCAGTGCCTTGCCCATCTGCCTTCATTCTCAGTGCAAATAAAGACATCAGGCATTGAGATGTGCACATATTTCCCTGAAGCACCAATTTGAGATGTCTTTGTACTGTCGGGAGACAGCTGAGAAAAGGAAATCTGTGAGCTTCAAGTGTATATTATGCAGGTGTTCAGAGTATTTAAAGACTGTGCTGTGCGTGCGTGTATGTTTAAGGGAAGTCGTGGGACACCGACAGGGCCCAGCAGCAGACATTCAGTGGCTGCAGGACCCATCTACAAACAGACGGCCCTATGGCACTGGGGAAGGAGGAAGGAGTCTAGAGGAAGGAGTATTGGGTACGGCTCCAGGATTCCCTGTCCTAACCCTACAGATCCTCTGGGCTTGATGTGTAACCTCAGACTAGTCACTTAAAGGTACACTGGCTTTTTATATCTGAGCAAAGTCCTAAACTTTCTCTGTCCCTCCAATTAAAGACAAATCATATCTTTTAAGGTTACATTTATCAGTGGCCTTTTGTTTCTTGAAAGATAGGAATTTATACATTGCAAATGAGTATTATTGTTTTTTTTATATCTATCTGTGATGTCTTTGCAGCACAATTTAAACCTAAAAGGTGTATTTCAAGTCAGTGTTTACCTGAATGTGGTCCCTGGATATGTGGATCACATCCCCACTTCTCAGCATCCCACTGGAAAACTGTTGGAAATGTAAATACTGTAGCCCCACCCCAGACAAACTCAGTGAGATGGTGGGGGTGAGGACTGGGGTAGGTGTGGGGGGGGGGAGCCATCTGTGCTTTAACCCATCCCACCTGGGTCACTGGTATATACTCATGTTTGAAAATTATTGCTTAAAGCCCCAGCTCCACAACATAAACACTTTCATTGTAAGGAAAACATTTAGAATAGTTCACTTCTGCCTGGCATTTTGCTCTATACTTCTCTTGCCGCTATTCTATAACTGCTCGATTATTATTGGTGCTTATTCTGATGCAGGGGTTGAGCTAAACCTTATATTGTTCTTTATCTCATTTAATCCTTCCAATGCCCTTATTGGACTGGTGCTATTGTTATTTCCAGTTTACAGGTGACAAATAGAGATTAGGGAGAGTTTGGTGGGTAAGAACTAGATGAGTAAGAATTAGAGCCCAGGTGTTCTGTCTCCAGAGCCTCAACTGTAATTGCAGCTTCCAGGAACCAGAGTACAGCACAGGGTGTGTATGTCAAATATAATGTTATCCTGAAAAATAACTTTTGAAATGCTCTACTGCTACCAAATTTTATTTTTCCATCACTCAATTTAGATGCTGCATGAAGTCCCTGTTCAATAGCACATTTTACAATCAAAATGCCTTACAACAGACAATGGGATGTAAACATAAATAGAAGACCACAAAGCTAATTAATATGGCTTAACATATATCTATTTCCTGTCTACATTACTTATCTACACAATTACAAAGTGCTAGAAATAGGGCAGAATTTAAATTTGTCTGAATGTGACTGGTTGCTGGCCCCATTGGAAGACTATTTTTGTCAATTTCCTTCAGAGCTGCAGGGCTGAAAATTCTAAAACAAATGTTTTGAAGAGAGTATTGAACTTGCTTCCTCATTAAGAAACTAATGCTCCTTGGTGCATGTACCAACTGAATTCCCTTCCAAGTATTCCCTGGTATGTAGAAAAAGCCCAACTTATCTCGTAGACATCAACAAAGGGTAATGGAAGCCAACTCAGATTCTGCCTTGGAGAGCTAGCTGACCATCCTTTAAAGAAAAGTAAAAATTAATCTCCAGCCACAATGTACCTGTACTGTCCTCTCTTTGCTAAAGCTGATGAGTCTGTTAAATGTCCCAGGGAAAGTACATTAAAAAAAGGAAAACAAGAAACTTGACAGTTTTGGCCTCCTAAGCTCTGACTGATTTCCTATCTAGAGAGAGAGCTCACACTGGTGAACCCAGTGGCCTGTTTTGAAGAACCGCCTCTACAGGTCATGGTCTTCTCGGGACTTGCCCCGCATCGTCCACATCCCTAAGGCTCTTTTTGGTGTGGTTGTGGGATAGAACGAGAAACCTTGGTTTCTCGAAGGATAAAAGGATTCACGTTGGGGTCTTAAAGAGTACAGAGGTAAAGTCACAACCTATACATGGGCCTAAAACATACTCGGGAATCTGCAGTGGGTAGTGCCCTAAACACCTGTATTTCTAGAGGCCGCCCTTCCACATATTACATAGAACATAAGAAACATATTAAAATATATCCTCAGCATATATATATGTATATATCTGCATGTATATATGTATATACATATACCTATTCTTGTTACAAAGCTTTTTGGAAAGATTGAAGTTTTTGGTTATGAGCAATACATTTAATCTACGGGTGGGAAAGATTCCTCAGTGCACACCCAGTCATCACTCTGAAGAAAGAAGGTCTGACTTTCTTCTAAAATCACCGTCAAGTGCATCTTTTATAAAGACTGGATAATTAGCAATTAACGAGTTGATAATGATATTAAGATTATAAACCTTTTGTTAAAGTTATTAATTTTATATTTTGTATATTTCTAAAAGCATTTTGGAGCCAATAAAATTATTATAAGGTATCAAACACTTGTGTAGGCCTTATCATGCCCATAGTGCCCGGATGACAAAATGGCCTTGGCAGCTGGGGTGCCTGGCTGGGCCAAATAGAGGATGAGGCCCCAGAAGTCTATTCTGCAAGTTAGTAATTCAGCCATCAAGGACTCTGGCCATCACCATGGCTAAAGGGACTTCAACATGAAGGAGATAATCTTCCTTCAAATTAGAGAATATTTTACTACAGGCCCAGGAAAACATGCAGAGCTAAAAATAAAACATTTCTATCTCTTTACCTTGAGAATTGAGATTTGGCAACTGTAACTGGCTGGTTTCAGGCATTTTGTCCAGAAATGGAAATGTCAGGGTTGCTTCTGGTTCTGGAGATTTTGGCTTTACCACCTGGATCATGAGCAACAGACATAAACACAGCATTATCTATTAATAAACACACAGGTGAAATCAAACTAAAGAGTTGATGGATATTGCATACGTCAATAAGCTCCCACATTTAACTTTTAAATGGAGAATTTCCCCCATGGTCCTATCCCTCTTTGTATTCTTCTCCTGTAACGTAGAGGTCAATTTTTCAGAGAAACCAAAGGAGAGCATAAAGGTTTGATGACCACTTTTCTCTAAACCTGAAAGACAGAATTCCGTCTTCAGAATTATATACCACTCTGTCCCATTTTCTCATTGATCAGTCACATATTCTCTTCCTGATACTACATTATACTGAATTTATAATGTCAGGGTGTGAGATGTTCCATGTAGATTTAAAATATTTTACTATGCATGTATTAAATACTAAAGTAATATTACATTCTAGTGGACACTATTTTTGAGATACTACACATCTCTCCCAACGAATTTATGCAAAGTACATTAAAGATAATATACTTTGCCTGTTGACATAAAAGCATTATTTATCATAAATAGCCATTACCAAACAGCACCATAGCAATGGTGTCCTTTGGGGATTTTTGAGGCATGTTAGATTACTCGTCCTGTGGTAAATAGTTCACAAATTACAGGCTTTGCAAATTCTTATGCTTGCTTCGTAAAAATAGAATTTTCTTGTTACTGCTATTTAATTATGTTTTGATTTTCCTTAATCTTAATGGCCTTTGGTAGAACCAACTTCTATCTCATTTGTTGTTTCTCATCAACTGATTGCTGAAAGACCGGATTACCAAACTAATGTCTAAAATGAAAATCAGTGGACTCCGAGCACAGATCTGAATGAGGAGCAGGGCTGTATCAGTTCACGTCCTTCAGCTGCCTACGGGACCTCCTCTCATTCACTCTGACTGGCGCTGTGTTCCCCACAAATTAATCTGATAGTCAGTAAGGCAAATGAGGTTACAGAAAGAGCACTTGTCTCATCATAAGCGGATCTGCGATTTGGTCCTCAGGATGATTTAATGTCTAGAATTTCTTCTTGGTAGGATTTTATTTTTCCTGAAGAAAATACAGTCACTCACTTCATTCTGCATTATAGAGGTCAACCAGATGTCCCAATGAACTTCAGTACTAATTAAACATGCAGCAATGTGACAACCCTCCCCTCTGGACCTCATACCATTTCCTTTATACTCGAGTCTGATAAAAACATGTTTCAGATAAGGCCCAGTTGTAAAAGAAACAGTTCACAGTCAGCAGAAATGCTCAAAATGACCACTGTATCGATCTGTGTGCACGGGCACTTTGCAACACCCTCAAGTGAAGTAAGAAAAGAAAAGCTGTTGAGACCACAGTGATCACCTACAGTGGGGAAAGGAGAGAAGGCAGAAATTCTGAACCTGGAGTCCACAGGACAGAATTCAGGGGCTGTATGTACTTAGTACCACTTGATACCAAAGAAAATTCTGTGTATTTTATGCTTTAAAAATATTCTGAGAACAAGGTTTACCAGATGGCCAAAGGTCCAAGGCCATTTTGCATGAGCCCACATACAAGCACGCACACAGTTAAGAGGCCCTGAAAACATTTCCCCATAGAGTAGATGTGACACTGGATCCAAAGGTGGATCACAGACGAGGTTTACGATGAGGTATGCAGATGAGGCATGCAGATGAGGTATGCAGATGAGGTATGCAGATGAACACATTTTAGTGATGGCATTCATTCTGTGGGACTGAAAAAAGTTCTAAGAGTTTTCCTTTCAGTTTAGATTTAAATGGAACAAAAAGTCAATTTGGAAGAATGATAAACAATGGTTACAAGTGTAACACAGATAAGGCAAAACCTGCAAAGACAGGGAAGCCTGCCTGCCCCCAGTGTTTCTTCTACAGCCTCGTTCCTCTCCTCGGACCTCCAGAGCACTCTTTCCTTCTCTGTGTATGAAAACAGGCAGCAGCTAGAGTCTGACGTTCCCAAAAGGCAGAAGGCAACAGGCCTTTGAGATTCCACAAAGACACAGCACTCTCACCTCCCAAAGGCCGCGGCTGTGTCTTGTTCACTGGTGAATATCCAGTGTCAAATACAGTGCCCAGCACAGAGTAGGTGCACAGCCACCATTTATTGACCAAACGAGGCGTGAATCGGATGTAGAAGTGGTAAATTTTTTATTCTAAAGTCCAATCCAAATTTAGAGCTAATTTTTAAAGTTGAAATATCACCACCTGTAGAGTAACCCACAGGCAGCCAGTGGTTCTCTCCATTGGTGACATGCTGGAACCACATGGGGAGCTGTTAAAAATACAAATGACTAGGCCCTGCCCTCTGAAATTCTGATTTATTTGAGCTGGACTGTGCTTGGTGTACTTTTAAGTTCTAAGAGGTAGCCAAGATTGAGAACAATTGGTATAAAACATGAAGACTTTTGGACTCTGTGCCTGAAAACAAACCAAATTATTATGGAAAGGATGAGACTCCAAACAAGGAAGAAATTAAATCAAAGCAAGATGTTAAACTCATTATATCAGCACAATAAGTTTCTAGTTTCCTTGTTGCTAAAATCTAGAGGCATCAGAAATATGCTGCTATAAATAGTTAACTGTGGTAAAGAGAATCGTTGGTAAGCTGAAAATAAGCAAGCTCATACTCATATACAACAGACCATAACCTAACCTAATGCAATATTCATATAAGCTCTATAACTTATATGAATATTGCATTAAAAATATATACAAGTATTTATAATTAAAAATTATTTCAAATAAAATATAAAGTATGTGGAAAATATATATATACATATGATTATTACTAATAGAAAGGTAGGTTTCAATGACTTTTTCTCACTCTTGCTCTGTTTGCTTATTTATATATCATTTAGAAATGTACATATATTACTTGATAAATTTGTTACATATGTATACATTACTATAAATATAAATTTAAAAGTATATAGCTATAGACTGAATGTTTGTGACCACACCCAAATTCCTATGTTGAAATCCTAAACCCCAAGGTGATGGTGTTATAAGGGCGGGGTGATTAGGTCACGAGGGCAGAACCCTCAGGAGTGGGATTAGTGTCCTTACAAAAGAGACTCCAGAGAGCTCCTTCGGTTAATCGAGGACACAGTGAGAAGATGTCCGTCTGTGAACGAGGAAGGGGGTTCCCACCAGAACCCAAAGCTGCCTTGACCCTGGACCTCCCAGCCTCCAGCACTGTGAGAGATGAAAGTTGGTCACTTGTAAGCCCCCCAGTCTATGGCATTCTGTTACAGCAGCCCCAGTGGACGAATGCATCTTCCCATATGTATTTAAGTTATTTATAATGAACATGGAGTACATTTGTATTTGGGAAAACAACACAGGTTAAGAATAGAAAAAGACAGGAAGGGAAGACAGATCTGCGTTAGGGACAAGTGCCACAGCAGCAGCCAGCTGACACAGGAGGCCACGCTAATTTAAATTTAACTGCTTTAACCCACTTCGCAATTCACCTTTTGTGACAGCACCAACTCCACCTTCCCACTCATTTCATTCTCTGGTGTCTTCGGCGACTTCGGGTCTTCTTCCTCCAGCACATCGTTCTTTGGCTTGGGGCTGGAGGACAGCTCCACCAAGGCCACGGTCGGGCTGGATCGGGTCACTGTCGTTGTAAAATGCGGTGGCTCTGAAATGGAGTCACACCCAGAAACATAAAGAAGTGGGATCATTGTGTGATGAGATGTATAAAAGAGCCCAAGATGCCAGAATTCTCTAGGCATTTTCATATTATGTTTAAAAATTAAGCACACCACCATCAAAAACTTAAGTTCCTAACAAGACTCAGAGCTGGCGTGTGAGTAATGCTACAGGAAACAAAATGCTGACAGGAAACGCTGTGATTGGCGGGTTGGCTGGACGGACACCTCCATGTGATTTCCATCCGGAGACTGAGTGGCAGCCTGACTCTTCTTCCTCTTGTGTCTGCGTCCTTTTTCATCATCACGTCTCCATAACTGAATGTGGTAAGGATGGCATGGCACACAGAACGCAAGGGAAACCAAGTGCTCTTTGATACGCAGAGGAAGAACTGGGTACCCTCTAGAGTGGGGGGAAGTCACCACCTGGGGGCGCATGCTGAGATGAGGAGGGGTAATCCAGTTTGAAATTTTTAGTCATGGCATTTAATTTGTTGTAACAGGTCATTTAAAAATACCTTGGAATTGGGAGAGGGTGAGAGACTTTTATGCTTATCAAGAGAGAAAATATGTTATAAATATTGATAAACATTAATTCAGGAAACAGTAGGTCTCTTCATGCTCACTGTCCATATTATTCTTTCAAATTATTCAACAGCTATATTATTTCAGTGTCTATTTTATGATATATTTCTTATCTATAATCTATATTGTTTGTTACTATATGTTAAAATATGACCCTCAGTTATTATCATTATTTATTCGGGGCAATATAATCTTATTTATGATTATGGAGATTTAAAAAATCGAAACAAAGCCAGGGAAACCAATCAGAATTTCCCTAGAAGCCTCTAGGTGGCGGTACAACCCCACCAGTTTTAGAATCTCCTTTCCTTTGTGTTGCTCAGGAGCAATTCTTGAGTCCATTTCCATTCTATCAATATCTGAAGAATGATCATGATTTACAGAACCTTAAAACTAGCCTGTTAGGAAACAAACCTGAGGAGGCAAGTTCCATATTCCCTTTGTGTGGTTTTCCGCCATCAATCTTATCTTCTTGACTGTTCGGGTCAATATCCTCAGTGGTTGCCTGAAAAAAAGATTTTTATGTCCTCTTGAATAAATAATGCCTTTGAAGGTTCTATAAAGTAAAGGATTTCCTTCTTTCTTTTTTTCAAATAGTACTATTTAGGCCAACAAGGTGAGCTGGCTATAGGAATTCACTCTTTTGAATTTGTTAGGCAGGTTTACCGTGAAGGGCGGCTTTGCTAGAAGCAGACGTCCTGTGCAGGAGCAAAGAGATGCTGAAGCAGCAGCACCGCCACACCCACCAGCCATCTGCCCACGCCCCTCTGGCTGCCTCAGAGGCCCACGCCCATTCTGTTCTTCCTTTCACCACTGAATTTTCAAAATCATAGTTACCCCTACCCACTTGCTTCCAAGGGTCATATCAACAGTGCGGAAATTTTTCTCTCTTGTTAAGATTACAAGTAACATCCCAGTTGCTTGCCTTCAGCATAGATAGATGCCTGTGGTGCTTAGCATTGTGGGGTTTATTCCTGATGTTCCCTTCCTTCCTGGGCTTTCAACAACTCTATTACCCGAGTTCTGATATTCTCGTTCATGCTCTCTCTCTGGACTTCTACAAGTTCTTATTTCTTTTCTTTTTGTAAAAATACAGGTGACTCCTAAAAACTTCCGACTATTTTTCTCCACCTGTGCTGGGTCACCCTCAAATGTATAATAGTGATTATTCCCAGGGGTTCACCACTATGTCCCTTTTCCATGTATGACCTGTACTTTCATCTCCTAACCCCTAGAGTCCACCAAAGCTCCAGCTGGGCCAACCCGTCGTCATCGTCATGGTCAATGGCTCACACTCAACCACTAAATATTGCCCTCGCACAAGCCTCTCTTCCAAATCCAGTGCTTTCTGTCCTGGCGTTAATTTCCCCCATCACACAAATTAAACTTTGAAGTGTTTCCTGACTCGGACTTCCTGAGTGCCCATCATCCGCCAAGTCCTGCCAGGGCTCTAACACGATAGTTTTCGTATCTGTCTCTTCCTTTCTGTTCTTACAGCTATGGCTGAACTTTGCGCCTTTACTCCCTTGTTCTCCCACAAAGTTGGGATCTTGCTGTGGAATGCCCTTGGCACATCACCATGACGTCCATCTCTCTCAGCAGCACCACAGTTTATCGGTGTTGGGCTCGTGTGCTTCTCTTGCAGCAGCACCTCAAGTGCACCGGTTTGATGCTTGATGGAATTTATGACAAAAAAATGTGGAACAACCTAAATGTCCAACAACTGAGGAGTGGCTGAATTAATTACTACTGTGTGTTCAAAATAGGAAATATCATGCCATCATAAAGGGGTGCTGAATAATAGTTAATGATATGTGAAAATATTTATTATCTAATGTTAAGTTAAAAAATGTAAACTATATTCATGATGCCTACATATAAAAGATTTTATATATGCCATATAAATGCATACATATTTCTATTATTACATATATAAGACAGCAAGGAAACATTAAAATGTTACTAATGATTATTTTTAATGTGCTTAAATCTTGGGTGACTTTTTCAAATAAATGTTCTGTGTTCCAAAATGTTCTACAATGACTACATATTGCTTCTATAATCATAAAATAAAATCAATGTACTTTTATGTTATCTTTAGTTGGGAGCCAACTGACTCCAGAGTGAATTCCAAAATTCTCCCACTGATATTACAGCATTTGCATGATACAAGTAAATGATAGTCAAATTAAATACTTGCTAAAATATACCTCCACAACCAAAGGGGACAATTTAATGACTTTCATGTTTGTTAGTAATAGTGTTTTATTATAAAAGGCTAAAGTTAAAATTGTAAAGTATGAATAAAATGTTTTATAAACCTTAAAAGATTTTAAGATAAAAACTAGAATTGGTTTCAGAGAAGGCACTATTCAATACTTTATAAAATATCCCCATGGGATCTCAGGAAGCTATGGATTTATTGATCTCTCATAAGTATATACCTTTTACCCATAAATCAAATTTTGCCTTTCAAGTAACCAAAATAAAAGCTCTTTAAAGTGAACACATTGGGTCCTGACTAGTGTGGCTCAGTTGGTTGGAGGATCATCCCATAACCTGAAAGGTTGTGGGTTTTATCCTTGGTCAGGGCACATGCCTAGGTTGTGGGTTCCGTCCCTGGTAGGGGTGCTTACGAGAAGGCAACCAGTCTCTCTCTTTCTCCTTCCCTTACCCTCTCTCATGTGGGCATGTCCTCAAGTGAAGATAAAAAAAAAGTTAATGTGTTGGTGGAAATGGTCATTAATTTTTTAAAAAGGTAAGTAAAACTTTATGCAAATATGAAAGTATGGTTCAACATGTGTAAATCAATAAATTTGATATACCATATTAATAGAATGAAAGAGAAAAATCATATAATAATTTCAATAGATGTAGAAAAGGCATTTGACAAAATTTAACATCCTTTCATGTAAAAACTCTCAACAAATTAGGTATAGAAGAATGTACCTAAATATTACAGACTATAAAAATTGTACCTCAACAAATCAGATATAGAAAAATATACCTAAACATCACAAGCTCACAACTAACATAATACTTAGTGATGAAAAGATAGAAGCTTTTTCTCCAAAATCAGAAACAAGACAAGGGTGCCCATTCTCACAACTTCTATTCAACATAGTACTAGAAGTACTAGCCAAAGCAACAAGGCAAAATAAATAAATAAACAGAATCCATTCAAATGGGAAAGAAAGAAGTAAAATTGTTTCTGTTTGTAAAGGACATAATCTTACAGAAAGAAAACCCTAAAGACTGCACCCCCCCAAAAAAAAAACCTTTAAAATAAGTAAATGACTTCAGTTACAGGAAATAAAGTCAATATACAAATATCTAAAAAAGAAATTAAGGAAACAATCCCACTTACAATAGCATAAAAAAGAATAAAATACTTAAGATAAATTTAACAAGGGAGGTAGAAGATCTGTATAATGAAACTATAAAACATCAATTAAAGAAGTTGAAAAAAACATAAATAAATGAATAGCTATTCTGTGTTCATCTATTGGACAAATTAATATTGTTAAAATGTTCAAACTACTCAAAAACAATCTATAGATTCAGTGCAATCCCTATAAAAATTCCAATGATATTTTTCACAGAATAAGAAGAAGAAAATCTACAATTACAAAAGACCCCAAATAGATAAAGCAATCTTGAGCAAGAAGAACAAAGCTGGAGACATCATAGGTCCTGACTTCAAATTATATTATCAAGCCATAGTAACCAACAACAGTACAGTACTAGTACAAAAACAGACACATAGATCAATAGAACAGAACAGAGAGTAGAATGGTAGTTACCAGAGGCTGGAATATGGGAAGAAAGCGGGGCAAAAAAGTACAATGGTAATTGTCAGGGTCTGGGGAGAGAGATGGGGGAGTCATTTTTTAAGGGTTAGAGAATTTCCGTGTATAAGATGAAAAGAGTTCAGGGGACGGACGCTGGTGATGGTTGCAGAAGAATATGAACAACTTAATGCCACTGAATGTACACTTAAAAATGCTTAAGACAATCAATTTTGCTATGTGTATTTTACCACAACAAAAATATTAGGGAAAAGAACACTGTTAAAAAATTTTAAAAATTGCAAATCTTATAGTTAAAAAATACACAATTAATATTAAGTAACATCCTCTTAAAGCTTCTAAAAGATTTTACACAGTACTTCATGGCAGAAGGTGCCTTTTGGAAGATGGGGCAGTTTTGAAATCTTCATAATTAGATGGGCATTTTCTAATGATGGATAACATGTATCAATTCTGGGAGAATATGATATTAAATTAAAATGCACTTTAAAAACCCTAGGCAGGAAATAAACATTACATTTATATTATTTAACGAATTTTATAACTTTCTAACATATCAACAAGCCTGAACTGAATCCTTTTAAGAGATTTAAAGAGTGAGAATAGTTAAATAGACTGAAGATTTTCTTATTATATTTAAATTATATATGTATGTTGCATATGTGTGTTTACATTTTTATTTCAATGACTGATATGATAGTAGCACTACAAAAGAATAAGTTGGGTTTTGTTAAAATGCTCCTTCATATATAGAAATTTCAGTATGTGATAGTATTTTATGTTTTAGGATGTTAATATATAAAATACTGGGTAAACCTAGAAATATTTATTTTTAGGTTTTCCCCAAATTGGATTAGGTTATAGAAAACTATCTGAGGTTGGGAAACAAATTTGCAGTTAACGCTTGAAAACTCTGGTGTTTCCAATTATTAGAAGAAACACGAATCACTATAAAACCCAGGCCAAAGCCTCAGCAGCCTCACAATGAACAACAAAAAGAAAGCACATGCTTAACTAAATCTCCTGTGCCCCCAATATTAGGTTGTATTACTTTAGGGGCTACTAAGAAAGAAGACACCCTGTCTGTTAGAGATGATGCACGATTGATGATAAGACATCCAATCTAGAGAGGTTCAGATGCGGAAAGTGTGCCAATTGGAATCAATGAAAGAAGACAACGCAAATCCTTTAGATATCATTTATAATACAACAGAGACAAAATCCTCAAGCACTACTTCATTGAGAATTATTTTGCTAGCACATCACATTCCAGTAGTATTTTACGTACGTGAGACCAATGGAAAACTTCCACTTTCAAGAATTCTCATTCATTTCTGAATGCACTTCTATATGGCTTAACACTCAGACACCGAGCTCCCAGATGCCCCAATTTATCCTCCGTTAAAGTGATGCTTTCAAGGCTTCGTACTGTGGCTACTGGAGCCGTGATCAATGTGTCCAGCATTTACCACATGGTTTATCTCATTTAATTGTCAGAGCAAGCTTCTAAGGTATGTACCAAAATGATTCCCTTTATATAGTTGAGCAAACCGAAGCCCAGGACACTAAGTGACTTACCCAGGGTCACAGTGCTAGCAGGCAGGGGAGGTGGGTGTCCTGCCTTATGCTGGTAACCTCAATGCCCCATCATCGGGCTGAGAGTCACACCTACTTCCAAGTTTTCCCCGGGGATGTC